CTTATCAGAACTCAAGAAAATCAATGAACGAGGATTTATACAATTGAGAAAAAAGATGTCACTGCTCTTCCGAATGTAGAAAATTGTTTGAATTTGGTTGTTCCGGGAAAAGATGCAACAGGTATTGACTGTCTTATCATATCTAGAAAGTGCTATTTTACATGTGCAAAAAACAGCATTGACTTTTTTAACTTTTGCTTTGCATTGGAGATATTATTGTTTGGTATATTTTGTATTTAAAATAGACTCAGATCAAATCCTCAGCCTTGGAGAACTCTGTGAGTTACAGTCAAAATTAATGTTGATTGCCGGAGAGGCAGAAAAAGGTCAGCGTAATGTCAACATATTTGTAGAAAACTTGACTTCCATCCAGAAATTAACAGAAGTATATGTGAAATTACTTGAATCTGGATGCATGCTATTCAATGAGTGGTGTCTCACAGTCAGGTTAGTTATTTTTTTTGTTTATTTGTATATTACTAATTAACTCCATATTGGCTGTACACTTGTTCAAAGCAAGTGCAAAATACAATTATATGGAATTCGACTTATTACCATAATTACCAAACTTTTAGATGTCTGAGTGAATTGAGCAATATCACAAACTCGATTAAAATTGACATCAAATTTACTTCTGATACTCCATTGATCTCTTCTGTTGGAACTCACACAGATTTGGACAAACTTACTGGAATATTATCAGAATCTTTGCAAGGGTAAGTAAAATTGAGTTCAAAGAATCTTTTCTTGGATAATGAATTTATTTACTTTGAAGTTACTAAACGTTGCATTGTTTCTTGATAAAATTTAATTATCTGGTCAAATGTCATGATGGCACCAAGCGAAGTGATTAATGATTGAATATGTGTTGAAACTTTGACTTTATGAATATTTAAAAAAATTTGATTTAAAACCTAACAATTTTGTAATATTAATAATAACTTTGTTGTTATTTTCATTACAAACTACCAATACAAAAACCATGTCAAAAATTAGAGCAGAAGCCTTAAACATAGAACAAAATAACGAGACATTCTAGAATTCTATATCCATTATTTTTGGGGTTTGGGGTGGTGGATCCCTATCAAATAAATCAAAATAAAGTTGTGTGTGTCCCTGAAAGTTGGGTAACCTTGTCGTTTTACAAATTTACAACTTTTTCAGATGGATCGATTATGTTTCAACAAAACGAATGGACTTCTACTACCTGAATGAATACAGTATTCAGCAAATACTTCATCTATGTAGACAACTTCGTATATTCAAGCAAACAAAACATTTGCCTGCACAGGTATAGATTCCTTATGTTACATCAAAATGATCTTCATATAATGTTGACTTTATAAAGCTTGGGGGGTAGTTAAACTTGTTCTTCTGCATGTATTGTAAGTACTATGAACACGCAACTCTTCTGGGAGAATCCAGGATGGTTCCTCGGGCTTGGTACAACTGCTCTGTGTGAAACTCTGTGCCATTACTCAGGATAATCAATTTATCATAGTGCTTCTTATGCATATTCTCTCTGAAGAAAGAGTCTGCAATTGCGAGAATAACTCATGTGAAATCGTACTCCGTCAAAATTGTCGAGTAAAATATTGAACATGCAGAAGATCGATAAGTCGGCAGTCTCTGATCGCTATCTACCGGTAGTTAGTTTCTTCTACAGAAGTTAGCTTATGTTGTAATTCATCAGTATACTCGTGAAATTCGAACAACCTCAAATTCTAGTCAACTTTTTTGTGTTTAATTTTCAACAGGTTTTTGCTCTTCTGTCGTTTGTGCGAAATGATTTCACTCCCGAAGATTTAGTAGAATGTTTAGAAAATTTAACTGAGACTATAGATGATTCACAAATGAAAGTTGACATTGGAGGTAGTTCATTCATTTATAGCAAACTGGTTGCTTATTATAATAAAATATATCTTTTGTGCAATGTAAAAATAAATAACTTAGTAAGGGGTGAATCATAATTGCACTACAAGGCCTAATGACATTGCGCTTCAAGGCCAGAAAACATTCAACATATTTCCTGTCGGTTCGGCCATAAAGGCATCCGTAACCCTTGGCTGTCGAATTCCGGTACAGAATTTGTTAATAGCGACTATTATTAAAGGAATTTATTACTTATGTTACATTTTGATGTTTTTGTGCAGTAATAATTAGAGTGGGATGTCATCAACATGGTCCCATAAAGTATTGAATTTGCGAATTCCGTGAATACAGTTATGAATTATGTGGTTTCGGTAGTCATTGTTCTTATTCCTAGCTGGTGCAATGGAACTGGAATCAGAAGATGACAATCTGTCTGATGATGAATCAGAGGATGAGAATTTGTCTGATGATGAATCAGAGGATGGGAATCTATCCGAGGATGAATCAGTTGATGAAAATGAACTGATAGAACATCAGCAAGGTTAGTATTCATGCTTTGTTGTTATTGAAAGTTTAACGATGAGGTGCTTTTATATATCTGCATTACTTATCCATACTGAGTGTGTTTATCTTTTCTTGAAGCAGTAACTCAAACTGAATTGAAGAAACGTCTTGAAAAAGTTAGAAGTTTAGTACGTGATGGGATTGATGAAAATCTAGCCAAAGCTGCTGTTCAATCAGAAGGATGCGATGATTTGTCAAAATTACAATATTGGGCTCTTTTGCATGATGGAGAAGATGATTTAATTCAAGGGCTTTGTTCAACTTTTAACGATGCCATTGGTAAGCAATATTTTAGTGACAAAAAATTTGAAAATACTTTATAAAATCAAATATTTTCAATAAAATGTTGTTACTACTAGAATTAAATCAAGAAGAAAGTTTAGAACTTCAAATGCTGGCATCAGCTTTAAGTACAAGTGGAAATACTTTGTTGGGAGTGATCGGCAGATTACGAAAAAATATTATATCAACTATTGGAAGTAATTTTTTGGATTCTGTCAACACTATATGCAATGGCTATTTGGACGAAGCTATTGTAAGTTTCTATTTTGATTTTTTTGAATAAATTTATATAAAAGTTGTATTTTTTCATTTCTTAATTTTAAGGGAATCGATTTAGAGGACTACCTAAGTATTGAACAACTGGGCAAATGCTTAGACAATTTGAGCCAGGAAGGTCAATCTCATCGTCAACTAATTCCTGGATTAAGACATGGCCAGCCCAATCTTCTAGTTTGCAATGAAGAAGATATTCTCCCTACAGTGCTATCGTTGTACATGAATAACATTGATCAACCTTTACCTGGGAGATCAGAAGTTGTTATATGCAATGAGGAAACAACTGCAGATGAAGTTGAAAGATTTTTTCGAAGAGCAATGTGTTCTTGTCAGCATAATAGTAAGCCAGCTTTTTGGCACATATTGTAATTTTGTATATCCACTTTAAAACAGAGATATTTTAATCAACCTCGAATACAAGACTGGAATTTTTTCTCACTTTCAATACTCTTGCTTAATTGATGAGTAGGCTTCAACAAGATAATCACACTTACAAAAACGTTAGACTGGATGTTCAAGTTATTTAATTCTAATGTCGCCCCTGTCATTCATCTTTCTGGATCAATTGCTGTGCTTAGAAAATTAAGATTTTACATGAAAAGATGGTCAAACACTTTCTATATTTCCTAATGGTATACAATTTTGCAATGCACAGCTGCAATGTAATAAATTCAATACATGTCGATTTGAATATTTGTCTGTCATGTTAATCTGAATGATAAAATAAGTTATATAATATAAATAATGTAAATACAGATCAGCATTTGTTCACTTTGGCTTTTGCTGATAAATTGAAATTGGAAGTTTCAACAGCGGTAGAAGAAATATTTCGGAAATTGTCATCTTGTAACGAAGAAAAACTTAATAAAAAGTATCAACTTGTAATTGTAACAAGCAGTCAAAAGCATTATCTCTCAACTTGTTTTGACAAGGTCAGTTTCTTCACTTGCGTAGTTATGTCACCTTCCTATATGTATGCAGTAAAATTAATCATAAAGCATAAAATATTTCATTTACAGATACCTATACAATTTCTTTTACATGTTACTCTATAGTATAAAATAAATCTCTAATTTTCTGAATATTCAGATCAACATCTGATACCCTACGTATTTCAAATTTTAAACATGAACTGGCTACAAATTGTTATCAACAATACTATTTTGTTAATCGTCGTGTTCATAATTTCTGTAGTATCTTGCTGATGGTAAGTGGAGTGCTTCAATGAGTGAAATACAAGATTATTTGAAAATGCATCTTGAAAATAGGAAAACACAAATGAAAAAACATGACAAAACTGGACTGGACAATTTTCTTGTAAAAGTTGTAATGTCGGATAGATCTGGAGTTGGTTAGTTGCTTAGATAAGTTTTCAAACATACCTTTCCTCACAAATATTAGAGCTTGACATTTTATCCAAATTTTTGCATGCATTGTACCACTGTGTTCAGTAAAAGCCTAACCAGTACCAAAGTGAATTGCTGTGATAGTGAGTTTGATTTGTAATTTTTGTTTTGAGCATTTAATTATTTGAACTTTATGTTCATGTAAATGAGCATTGTGACTTGTGAGAATAGTAAATACCATGGGGTTTATATTTTTCTGAGTAAAACACTCTTGGCTTGTATGTTTTACTATTTTCAGCAATTGCATGGGACATATTTATTTATTTTGCTATTTTTCTCTTTGTCAACGATTAAAGCTAATATAGAAATAAAAAATTGCTATTCGGATGTTACAAAATATATAATTTAGGTATTCACAGTTTATATGACTTTTATCTAACATTTTCAGGAAAATCATTATATGTAAAACGAGTTAAAGAAAAGCTCGAAGATTCTGTGAAAAATAAACTTCATTCTACTACAATACGTTTACTTGAGAACAAACTGGACTCTGACTACATTATTGAAAAATTGAATGACATAAACAGGCATAATGAAACTCGGAAAGACAGTGTTTCATTGATTCACATTGACTTGACACCTGCTGTAGGTTTAATGCTTTTATTTAAAATGATGCACAATTTAACAAGTATTTTATTAAAAAACATTAATCTAGGGTATTTATAGTGAAATATAATTACACTGAACTTCACTTAGGACTCACTACAAAGAGTGTTACAGAATTTAAATTTTTTTTTCTTTCAAATTAACAATAGTAAATATTGGGAGCATGTTCAAATATGAATTTTTCAAAAGTTTTTTTGTTTCTAGGTTCAACATGGGATAAAATCTTTCGCATTCAATCTTTTTGTTCTTGGAAGTATCCAAGGTAGTCGAGGACAAGTGTGGAAAACACATCCGAATCATTTATACTTTATTGAAATGACAGATTTTGGCTCAACTGGAAAAGTATGTATTTGCTGTCTTGTAGGATATATTTTCTGGTACTCCTTAATATCATGTAATAAATCATGGATTCTTATCAGGTCATATTATAAACATGGATATGAAATCCCTATGTATTATGTTCAATATTTTTTCTACATTGTTTTATGTTATTAAAACATCTATTATTACCGGTAGTTGATTTCGATCAAACACCATTTTCTTTTGTTTCTTAGATTTGGATAAGACTTAATCTCATAATTACTATAACAGTAGTTTTCAACTGGAATCCTGTGCACCCAAGGTTCCACCATTATAGTCCAGGGGTACCACAAGTTAACATTTAAGTCAAAGAGTATATTATTGTTACATATATTTGCCACTATTATTAAACTTACTGTACTACATTTTTCCCCCAGTATTAGGTTTCCTTTCTTTGTTATTCATATTTCATACAACTTAAACAAGACAAATAAGACATAATTTAGACAAAAACAAATAAACTATTGCACAGGAGTTTGTAATTGGGCGTTTTATTAGGGTTCTACTCTCCCAAAAATGCCGAAAACCACTCATCTTTTTAATGTATTAGTGTTTAACCTTTCAAAGAACATTCACGAATCTTTGAGTTGATCGAATCCAAAACCACTTTCTCAGCATATATATATATTCTGTTTTTTAAATTTTACAAGTCGCTGTTGTAAGTTTTATTTGAAATATCTTTTGTTGTTGTAGAAAAGATTTTCGAATCAACATATATTGAATATGTTGCCCTATGTGAAATGTTTTTCTCCGCAAGAGATATTGAATGGATGCAATAAAAATTTTGATGAACAAATTGGTATGGATGTCGAAGAATTTTCATCTGAAACATTTCAAAGGCCATATCAATATCTACTGAGACATGATAACAAACAGGATCTGGATCTTTTTGCCTATTCTACACCAGAAGGTATTAAATGTAGTTCATTGTGCACTGACCAGTGGGACAATAGGGGTATGTTGCAAACTGCAGCGTATGTACCATATTTATTGTATTTAGTATCAAAATTAACGAAAGTACCGTATGTAAAATGTACCTGCTAATGTAAGTACCATATTCATGCTATGTGGATGTAACAACTACTTATGGCTTTTTAGACATTTGTCATGGATATTGTTATGTTCTCTTCAATCAAAATACTCAATACCTTAAAAAATCATTTTAACAAAATTTCATAGTGAATGTGGTAAATGGGTCATTTTTATGAGTGCGATATCTGCATACTTACAGTGCATGTCATACATACTTGTGGTGCATTCTGCACACAAAGTGTTTATGACGTTACAAAAAAATTTCTGGTTTTCATCTATCATTTAAACTCTATTCCAACAATTAAATTACCGTTAATATTAGTATCCAGAAGGTGTGCATGTTCTTAATAATTAGAACAATGTGTCATCTGGCACATTTTATTTCATAAAATTTTATAATTCAATTAATTTTTATTTAATTACAGGGAACCAAGATAACTGCATTGAAGTCTTACTACGTCACTGCTGCATGCAAAATCCATCTTGGGCTCAACTTCGGCACTTCTGTAGCTTTCTCAACGTACAGCTACAAAATTGTGAAAAATCTGTGTTTTGCACCAGTCCAGCTATAAAACAAGATTTGAATGGATTGAAAGAATTTGCTGTAAAGTTATGATAAGAATGGCCCAGGATTTTGCAACCCCGTCTTTAAAAATTTCAGACAGCAGCATCTCTGATAATCATCGTCAAGGATTTCAGGCACATCAAATTCGAAGAAAGTGGGAGGAATCAACTCACCCTTATGTGTTCTTTAATGATGATCGTAAAACCTTGACTTTCATCAATGTAAAATTAACAAAGAGGGTCATTTACTTGATGACAAAGGCCAAATAACGAAGCACAACATTGCAACTCCAGGATTGGTCCAAGCCCTTAAACTCCAAGGAATGGATTTGGAAAAAGATTTTGATAGTTATTCTAGGCAAGAAAAGTTGATTCGTTTGCGACGTGTGTTGGGCGTAGAAGATGACTATGACCAGTATGACCCTGATCCAAGCTATGAACTCACAACTGATAACGTCCTAAAAATTCTTGCAATTTATATGAGATTTCGCTGCCAAATCCCTGTGATCATCATGGGTGAAACTGGATGTGGCAAGACAAGATTAGTTGAGTTTATGAGTAAATTAAAAGCTGGTAGACCAAAGGCCAATACTATTGAGAAAGTTCAAAATATGATTACTCTGAAAATTCATGGTGGAATAACTGTTGATGATATTCATAAAAGTGTCAAAAATGCTAAAGAGGCTGAAGTTATGAACAGGGAAAAGCACAATCTGACAACAACATTATTTTATGATGAAGCAAATACAACAGAAGCAATTTATGCAATCAAGGAAGTTATGTGTGATCTTAGTATTGGCGGAAAGTCTTTTGAAGACTCAAGATTGCAACTTGTTGCTGCGTGCAATCCTTATAAAAAACTTTCACAAGAAGCCATTAAGAAATTGGAGGATTCTGGACTTGGATATCGAATTCATACAAGTGAAACGGCTCATTTATTTGGCAATATCCCAGTTCGTACACTGGTATACAGAGTTGTTGCATTGCCTCCAAGCATGCAACCATTCGTATGGGACTTCGGGCAGTTGAATGATCATGCAGAAAAAATTTATATAGAGCAGATGACGAAAAAACTTGCAACTGATCTTAAGTTGAATGAGGAAACAATTTCGATCATTAACCTTGTGCTTTCACAATCACAAAGATTCATGAGGACAAGAAAAGATGAGTGCAGGTAATGTATTTTATCGCATTTTTTCTAAACTTGGAAATTATTTGACAAAAATATTATTAATTTTTATGATTTACCTAGATATGTCAGTCTACGGGATGTGGAGAGGTGCATGATAACATTCAAATGGTTCTTTGAACATCAGGATGTTATTTTTGACCATATTGAAAAAGAAGTTGAAGAATCTTGTAAAAAGGCACAAAAACCAATTCCTGAAATCAACAGAGAAATCCGAATAATAATACAAACTGTTGGAGTTTGTTACCATGCATCACTTGATGATAGACAAGCTTTTCGAAAAGTTTTGGTAAAGAATCTTGCAATAGCAAATGTTGATGAAAGTTACATAAACATGGAGCTCACAGCATGTCAGTCTGTGTTTTTACGCAACATAAGAATAGGAGATAACATCGCTTGCAATAAAGCTCTGAAAGAAAATGTTTATATGATGGCCATCTGTGCTGATATGAAAATTCCATTGTTCTTGATTGGCAAACCGGGAAGCTCAAAGTCATTGGCAAAAACAATTATAACCAACAATATGCAAGGGCAGACTTCACATGCACCTTTGTACAGAAACTTGAAACAGGTGATTTTAATAGGTTTGTCTTGTGATGGGTATTTGCCAATGCCCGGGATATGCAACCTGTAGCCCAGGGGCCAAATGCGGCCCACAAAGCAAATGTGCGACTTATGGAGAAGTGCCAATTCTGAATGATTTGCAACCCGTGAAACGATTTTAGTTTAATCTGGTACATGCAAGTAATTCCAATCCCTTTGAGTTACAAACCCTATACCTGAGTTCAATTTATTATTTATGCCTATGATATCACAATTGCGTTTTTGTGCCTGCAAGTACTAGGACACTTATGTTAAATAAAGTCGTGGCCCACGATTTCTTTCAGTTACTTGTATATGGCTCTGCTGTATTGAAGGTTATACACCCTTGGTCTATACAATGCACCTACTGACTGGCACATCATTTACCATATGTTTTACATTTTTCAGATTCATATACTTTCATACCAATGTAGTGCACTCACTGATGCAGCAGGAATCAAAAGCGTTTTTAAGCAATGTGCTCAGCTGCAAAAGAAACAGGATTTGAAAACGTTTACTGCTGTTGTAGTTTTGGATGAAATCGGTCTTGCTGAAGATTCTGCTAACATGCCACTGAAAGTAAATCTATTTTCGCCTGATTATTTCGATTACTGTAAATGATGATAGAATATAAGTCTGTTATTGTAAGATCTTATCTCTTTATTTTCAGGTTCTTCATCCGCTTCTGGAGCGTCGAAGTACAGATCTAACTACTGTCTTACAACCTGATGATGAAAGAGTTGGGTTTGTTGGAATCTCCAATTGGGCTCTGGATCCTGCAAAAATGAATAGAGGAATATTCCTGACAAGAAGTAAACCTACCGAACTTGACTTAAAAAAGACAGGAAAAGATATCGTTCAAAATACCAACTTATGGAGAATCAATGAAGACATTTTTGAATCTTTGACAGAAGCTTATCTGGAAGTTTACAATGTAGTTCAGGAAAAAGAATATTTTGGGCTGAGAGATTATTATAGCCTCATGAAAATGCTTTGCCACAAGCTTGCAACTGTTAAAAAAAATGAAATTAGCTTTGAAGATGTTGTTTATGCCGTTCTTCGAAATTTTAGTGGAGGGCCCACAGGAGTTCATGATACAATTATAGAAAAAGTCTTCAATGTATTTAAAGAACAAAGTGGCGATAGCACTCTTGCAATTCCTAATATTCCCTTGCAAAATATGATTTGCGATAATCTTTGTGAAACAGAAAGCAGATTTTTACTTCTTCTGGCTAACCAGTTTTCAGTTGTCCACTTGTTAGAATATTGCATTAAAAATAACAATAGAGGATTTCATGTTGTGTTTGGTTCGAGTTTTCCAGGAGATCACAGTTACACTGAAATATGTAGAAATATAAATAGAATTAAAGTATGCATGGAAACTGGAAAAACTGTAATTCTTCTCAACATGACCGAAATACACGAATCACTCTATGATGCTCTTAACCAACATTTTGTGACATTAGGGGGACAAAATTATGTTGACCTTGGTCTTGGAGGCCACAGGGTCAAATCCAGAATTTCCAAAGATTTTAGACTAATTGTTATTGAGAAAAAAGACTGCGTTTTTCATAAATATCCAATACCATTGATAAATAGGCTTGAAAAACACCATTTCAACTCAGAAAGTCTTTTGGATGAGGCTTCAAGAATTGAATCCGAAGAGTTATCCTCGTGGGCTTCAAATTTTACCAAGTTGAAAAAATCGACATTTGTCGAAAGCGATGCATTTGTTGGATTTCATGATGATACAATTAGTTCTGTTGTTCTGACCACAGATTTTACTAATGAACTTGAATGTGAGCAGTCTTATTGTCCGTACAAATTTACTCTTCTGCAGTCTTGTTCAATGGATGCATTGTTGAGGTTGAACAATTCAAGTCTATGTACTGCTGAAGTGGATATGGCTTTGGAAGTTTACTTTAGGCAACAATGTCATGACAGACTTGTTGATGTATTGAATAGATGCATTGAAGAAAACCAGAAACTTTCATGTATGGAGATTATTTCGTACTCAAGCATATTGTCTGAAAATGATAAATATGTTCTTGAACAACAACTTGGAAATATAGATGTTAAACCAATAATAACACGTTGGTCACTTCAACTTTTCCATACACAGCAAGAATATTCTGATAAACTCGATGTTTTTTTTAATCAGTGCAGTAAACCCATTGAAAGTTGCACCAAAAGCGTCCATATTCTGCTTGTTCAATGTGCGCAGGCACAAATAAATAGTTCTCTTATAGCTTGTGCACAACATTGTTTGACGAATAAATTACTGGAGTTCAAAAATAAATCAAATAATAATTCTAATGCCACTGTTGTCATTGCAATGTTGTTATCAATTGAAAGAGAATGCAAATTGGGATCAAAATCTGAAGCACTTGTACTGCAACATACACAAGAATTCAATATCATTTATGTGGATGAGCTCCGTCCTACTGACCACCACCTTGCTCCAGCTAGCAAGTTTTTAGGCAAATCTTTGTCAGAAGTATTTGAGATTGGCAAGCAAGAGCTAGAATTGAAGAATGAAGAAGTTCTTGTGAATATGAAGTCTCTCCTAAGTGATAGTGTATGTGAAGCGGTGGCAAAAGTAGAAAGCGAAAAAAAACAGAGCAATAGATACTTCAAGCGTATTGAAATACTGAAAAAATTGTTTTTGGAAAATAAAGATGCCAATAAATATTTCTGCAAACTTCTGCTTGATAAAATGGTAACTGTTTTGTTGGAAAAACATGAACAAAATGATAATAAAGATTGGATTGAATCAGAAGCTTTGAACAGAGAAAACTTGCAAGAGGGAGGGACATTCAGAAAAACTATCTGGCTTTGTTTGAAGAAGCATGCCGCTCGCATTCTTGCATGTGTTGTTAGTGTCATTGATCGAGACAATAACATGGATCTTATTGAAAACGAATCTGTCGCTCCCTGGTTAACCAACATGTGGTTGAGCATGTTCGAGCTACTAGACATAACCTGGACAGATGTGACTAAATCAGCAAAATTCACCATACCCGGATCAATGTATGCTAACAAATGTTGTCAATTGCCATTCAGCTTTATAATCATTGATTTTCTCAATACAGAATATGCTTTAGAATCTAAGCACTGCAGAAATCTTAATGAAGTATTTCCTGGATTGTTTCAAAATCAAAAAATGTATGAAGTCGTTGTTAATGCTTTGAAGAGTGCACAAATTTCTGTTATGAAGGCATTTGTAAGTGATCTTGTAACAACTCTGTACATTCCTGGTTCGGATGATGCGAATGAAGCCAAACTTATCGAAGATACTATTTTTAAAATGTCTCTGACAGCTTTCAAAACTGCTCGACACAGACCAGAGTTTCATTCTGGGGGAGAAATTGCAATAATATTCCTGACATACAAAGAACTTGAGAGGAAGTTACAGATATTTTCAACAGTTGTTCATGCTTGTCCAAAAATATTGGAAAATGCAAAGACCTGGGAAAAGAATCAATCTGAAGCATTCATTCTTCATCTTGAAGCAGCAAAAGACACATTAAAAATTTTGAAAAATATGGCAGAAAAGATTGACAAACCAAAAGAGTGTGTCGAATGGTTGAAGTTGATGAGATGTTTCAAAAATATATATGGATCTATAGTTCATGATATAAAAGATGACAGCAAGTCATGGATATCATTGTCCCTACTCGATTCACTTCTTCAATGTGTTCTTCCTATTTCGCATGAAAATGTATTTTTTGAGAAAATTTTAAAAGTGATTGCACCGCAAGCAAAACTATTTTGGCGAGGTTCAGTAATGTCTGATCCAAAATCATATCAGTTTTTACGCATTGTTGGCAATGTTTTGAAAAGATGTTACCAGGACATTCAACTGAAACTTTTGATTGGCTTGGGCGACTTCAAGTGTCATCTTTGCAGATCTAGGATCAAGAGCCCTACTAACTTGCCATGTGGCCATTATGCATGTGAAGGATGTGTTGCCACCATTCTGAATTTGCAAGATGAAAGGCAAAAATGTCCAATTTGCATTCAGGATATTCCTGAAGATTTTGTCCCTACTGCTACACCCCTGAATAAACATCAATCTGTTATTTTGCAGGAACTTAAACTGAATTGTACAAATTTTTTCTTGAAATACTTGAAAGAGTTTTGCTTCAAGAAACAGAGGGACTTTTCAGATGAAATGAGTCGGATGAAACAGCATATTGAATTGATTTTAGAAAAGTTCGTTCTCCATAGTAGAAGAGAAGAAAATGAAGAAATTGATTCCACTGCATTGGATATCAATATTAATACCAGAAGTTCAATTTTGCAAATTTTACTCAGTTTTAATCCTACTTTAGTTACTGATAAAATAAATCAGGATATGGCAAAACTGAATACAGCAGATTTTCAGTCATTCGTTATAGTTGGGCTTAAACATTTTGAAGAGAATGCAAAAGGAAATTATACGAGAAAGTATGACAAGACTGTCAAATACTGGGAGGAAATATTAGCTAAAGCAAAGCAATATTTTCAAACAGATAACTTCGCAGATATTCAAACTTTGGCCTTGATAAAAAGAATTGCTAATATAAGATCTGCTGTCTGTTATTTCGTTCTCTATGTCAATGATATTTTGCGAGAGACTGAGAGCAGAATGGATTCCAATGATGCATTGATTGAAACTGGTCTGAGTCTTATGACAAGTTCCTATACTCCACAGTCAGTAAAAGATTTTTTCATAAAAATGGGATGCCACAAGTTCGGAACGCAGTGGCTTGCTAAATTAGGAAATCATGCAAAATTGAAGGTAAGTCCTTATAAAATGGGCTAAATTGTGTCTTTTAACACTTGAATGAATATTAATTCTGTGATAACATACGAAAGTTAAAAAAAACTCTCACATTAAACTCCCCAAGTTGACATACCTAGTAGATAGACTTTATACTATAGTACTTATAGCTTTTCCAAATCACATGTTACTTGAAAATTTTCATTGATGGTATAGCTTCTCTTATTTACTGATTTTCATAGAACTCAAATTACTTACAGGTTGAATATTTATAGTTTATATAGTTTACAATCCAGATCTTCTAGATTTTATGTTATGTAATTAATAAGAGAAAGTTTATTCCATGACTCAAATTGAATATAAGAAGTGGATTTACATATTTAATGTTAATCTTATCGTCCCAATGTTTCATTAATGTTCTTAATCTATATGTAAACTATGATTCACGGCATGCGTTAATTGTATTTTGACACTACAGATTTATCAATTATATTCAACAGGTTCTAATTCCGCCTTCACTCCAACAAGTTGCTGAAACTTCGGTTGTTGATTACTGGTATTTGTTAGGAGATGATTTCAAGGATATCAAGTCTCAATTATTCCAGACACCTATTGAAGATTTTGAACGCTTTGTTGAAGACTTGTTGAGTGACCATACCAACAGTCTGCAAAAGCTTTTTGCTTTGTTTTCATGGCTTAAGGAGAAAGAGAATGCAACAATTGGGAAAATAGTAAATATTATCAAGGATAAAACTCAGAATACTCCTTTGGTGCCTATCAATGAAGTTATTTTACAGTACTCGGTGAATCATTTTTCAACTTTTCAAGAGGCACATACCTTATATCAAATCATCATGATATCTGTGGTAGCAGCAACTAGTCAAAATGGAATTATGAAAGGATTCAGTTCGATTATAAAAAATCTGAATACTATAGAAAATGTTTATCTTCCAAGTATGCCAGAACATTTTCTATTTGCACTCCCTGGTGATTATAGATTAGATGCTAATAGACGAAATACAATGTATGTTTGTGCCTGTGGATATCTTTATAGCATTGGTGACTGCACACAACCCAATCAACGCAGAGAATGTCCTGAGTGTAAAAGGAGTATTGGAGGTGTGAATAGCATACTGGAGCCTGGGAATCAAAAAATGAATTTAACTGAAGAAAGTCAAGCTGGTTACAAGATTGATTCTGGTACACATGCAATGTCACTTGCAGCGGACAGGTTATCACATCAAGGTGCAGCAGTTGTTCAATTCATTCTCCACTCATGCATGTTGGCTGGATTAACTGAAAATTGTCAACCCATTTTCAGGTCAGTGCTTTCCAAATGAAATTATTTGGAAATTAATAATTTTATGATAGTATTTCAGTTTAAAAATTTCAAAATGCCAAGCATTGAATATTTTGGTATATACTTTTATATGTTATTTACATATTTTTCTTTTTGTTTAGAATGATCAGTGTCAAGAATAAGACAGAAGCTAAAAAATTCATCATTGAAAAGCTTCATAAAAACTTACAAGATTTATCCAAAGCTTTGTCAAGAAATGTTGATGATTGTGTGCTAATTCTAATGAGGATTTTACTAAGAATCATCAATAAGGTATAGTTTGTAGCTTTTATACAAAGTTGAAATGCATTACTACATAACTTTTATATATATAGACAATATACAAGCAATATCAAGTCAATAGTAGATAAAAATCTTCACTGTGGGCATATTCTACTATCTGTAGACTGTTATTGTATTATAGCTTCTGGTGAGAAAAGTTTATTAATCTCCAACCTACTATTATGCACGCTAATCTGATCAAGTTTCCCCATTTTCCAAAGCGACTATTTCTCAAAGCCTGAAATGATTGTTATAGGATCGGGCATAGTTGACGTTTTCATATTTTTATTTTATGTGACAAAACTTGGCAATGCAAAATATTAACTCGTTAATTAGGGTGCAGTTGCGTACCCTCAAAACTGGTCAACAATTGAAAGTCGTCGTGAATGGGAAAAAGTATTTCAAAATGAATATCTGTTGCCTGTGTTTCAAGATATTGATACACAAATACAAGATGCAAAACAATTAATGAAACAAGCTGAAGATGATGAAAGAGAACCACTGAACAGGTTGATTTTTGTAGTATCATAGCATTGTTTTCAGTTACATATCATATGCTATTATATAACCAGGTAATACCTTCTTTTGATTTGAGAGAATTTCCTCTCTGATGCAGCAGAAAGACATTCAAATTATTTGTCCATTATTCATAAATCTTCTTGTTTTATGTTATTTATACATATTGAAATAATAAAACTAGATATATATATATTATTTTTAGACTCTTGAATGATGTTAACTCTGATGATGAAATTGAAAAACGCTTTGATTGGAAACATTGTTTCTTCTGGAATTATTTTAGTCAACCAACCCCTGAACACCTATTACAAGTTTTGTCTGACAAGACTGAAAAGGGTCATGGTATGTAAATGTAGTGACGTTATAAAACTTGTTTTAGGGTTTATTTTTTGCTTCAAGTTTAACTAAAATATTTTGAGTATACCACTAAGGCGTAAGGGTATATTCTTTACTTATTTCCAAGTGTGTGCCTATTATAATATCTCTTTTCACTTGCTGAATGAGTCTAATATAAACTAGTAATCTTTTTCATGGTCATAATTCAATTTATGTGGACTGGATCTCAAATTTCCAAATGACCTAGTCGGATGAGAATAATTCATGATTTTGCATCCCTAAAAACACCTTAGGAGAAACCTTATTTATTAGTTATTTAAAAAAAAAATAAAAAATTTCCTAGATACACTAATGTTATAGTTAACTTGTGTTTTTCAGGTGAAGTTTTGAAATTGATTCTTCAAACACCAGATATTTATCTACTTATGCATTTGGAAGATATTCTGAAATTACAACATGTTATGATTGAGAGGTTCGTTAAATAGGCTATAATATGTGTGAGAATTAGGTAAAATATATGTCTCTATTGTGTTCTTATATGAATTAGGTATAAATACAATATCGATATGCAAGAAGCAGACCAAAGAACCTTTGAAGATCATGTACATCAAGATGGATTTGATGATGAAGCCTTAATTGAAAAATATATTATTGCATGGAATTTTGTGAGTTTATTGACTTCTAACCAATAATGCTCTGGCTATAACCATATTTCTGCATCGGTGCAGAATCCATCAGAATAATTTGACATTTGTATCTTCATGGCTCCGTACACAGATTCTCTGCGTTGACTGAAATTAAAAGCAGAAAAACAAGGCAACGAAGGAACCTCCTTTTATTGGTTTTTTATTTGTCCCTTCTAAACAGGCACACCCATCACCTTAACATTTGCAGAATAAATTTGTTGTGAGCTAACTTTATTTTTTTACAAGTGAGCCACAAATTTTTTTTTATTCACATAGTGATCCGCAAGCAAAAAAAAGATTGAGAACCGCTGTACTGAAGGATTGGAAAATAATACTTTTGTAGTTGTAAAACGTGGAAAAATTTAATCTATAACTTGCTAATTTACTAAAGAAACTTGCAAACTCGTAGAGAGGGTGTTTACAATATAATTTTGAATTACCAATTTTTTTGTTCCATTCCAGATCTGCCCTCAATTACAGGATTTTGCTCCAAGCTTGTTGAAAAACTACTTTGTACCAATTACAAAACAGAGCTCTTTATCTGTCGCTCTTCCTAGTATGCGTGGTCGTGGACAATGTGCAAAATTACTTGCTGAATATTTAATTGAGATTCAGAATTCATTTCTTTCAAGCTGTCACAGAGCTATGCGATTAGCTGAGAGGTAGAATGCATTACACCTTAAATGGCATGCTGATTGATTTCTGATGGTCGTAATTTTGATTTCACTTTTGTGTATTGCTACATCAGTTTGATTAAAGTTTCAAAAAACAGTATGATGTATTTTAGCACAATCTCTGAACTAAGCTTTGCACAAGCAATCGCTTAAGAGTTTTAAATCTTCTGTTTTATTGGGCTTTGATATTTTCTTCAGACGAACTCTTTCATTACAATTGTCTCAGTCAACCCAGCCTCTTACTTTATTTTAATAAATTGTTTCAGAAATGAATATGCTGATGTTCTGCAACTTGTTTCAAATGATTTTATTTGCACCAAGAAACAAGATCTCTTACTTTTAATTAATGAGCATACCAAATATGATATTTTGACGAATGAACAAGAAAAACAACATTTGATGTCTTACAATATTGATGCTTTAGAAAAACAGGTTTGCAGCATATTTTATACAGTCAATTAACCCAATGAGGCCTAATAAGGTTGATCATGATGAATACTATATATTAAATATATAATTTTAATTGAAAATGCAATATTTTTAGAAACAAGTATATTGCATGTATTAAATTTATTTATACTCTTGTTTAGGTTCAAGAAGAATTCGTTCGCGGCAAGAAGCTAATTGATAAGAAGGTAGATGATTCGTGTAATTTTTATTAAAATGAATTAAAGTTATTCCCATATCAAAAACTAGAATTGCTGATGTAGAAACTCCATAAATGATCAAAAATAAAAAGAATCATATTCCCAATTATATTATGTATTGGATTTTTCAAATAATTAATTGCAGCGTTTAAATTAATTGCAGACATTACCTTGTATGAGTTATCCTCAGGATGTTGGAATTGGTGTTGATTGGGGTAGAGTTGTAGCAACTACAAATCAGGTGAGTCTCGATTCATACACACAAATTGATTCACTTAGTAGAGTAAATCATTCACTCTCTTTCTATATGGACATTAATTGATTTTTTTATTGGGTATTGAAGGTTTGTATTAATCTATGCAGAAATAAAAATATAAAAGAAAATTTGTTTAATTGTATGGTTACCAATACAAACCAATGATTTCAACACAAACATCGGGGAATGCATGTGGTTATCAATAAAAATATATATTTGTGAGCATACTGCTAGTATTCGAAGTTTTCTCCTGAAAATTAGGCCTTAGCTGTACATCATATTTATGCTTTTTATTCAATGACATACATTTCAACCTGGTAAATTTAAAATAAACTTTTATATTGTCATAGTGTCAATGTAGCAAGTTCTTGAAGAAGCAGGTACAAATATGACCTAACTTATGATATATTAAGCATTAAAATAATTGTCATAACAATTTTCAGATACCATTGACAGCTAAGCTATCTCAAGATATTGACAGATTAGTTTCAAAATGTCATTCTTCTGAGATATGTGAAGTGGTTAGAACTTTAACAAACGCTATCACCTTTTTGTCTAAGGTAAGTTCTTATTTGATAAAATGATCAATATGCTCTCTGCTAGGCTTTTTCTTCAGCCTGCAACTTGGTGAATCATGAATCATCCAATTTTAGCGTTGATGGTAATGCAATATACATTTTGCATATTATGTCATGTGGTGATGTAGTGACAACAATAGTATTGCAAATTGAAGATTATGGACCTGGATAATTTAGAAATCAATCCATGATCACTGTAGGATAGCCCGAATTTAAAAGATCATCCTCTATATCTAAAAATATATTTATAACCTGATAGCTACTTTTGTATGTAATACTGGCTGCTCTATCTAGAACATTATACAAATTGGAAAGCTTTGTAAAACCACTATCCCCGCTTAATGGCAATGTCCAAAGCTCAGTTTTTGTTGCTTCCAATCACAGACCTTTCATGATTTTACTAATTGCTTCATTTGTCAACCATTTTATTGAAAATGCTTCTATGATAGGTTTCTATTTTAAACGATATTTTTTTCTCAAATTAAAGGTGAAAATAAGATCTGAAAGACCGCTCTGTGATTTTCTTGAGAAAGATCTGAAAATGATGTCAGCTCAGACTTCTATGATACCGAGATCCACCAATACCTGCCATGTTCTTTCTTTGTATCAAAGGTTAACATGGCACAAATCGGTAATGTTCTCTCATCGAGGACTTGATCCATACAAAGAAACTTTGTTTACTGGTAAGAAGAATGACTATTTTCATTCCCCTAATGCTCTGTATTTGTGTTTCCAAAGTTCTCAGAAGAAGTATGGATAGATGATATCTTTATGTTTAACTCATATTTAAAGTAGACGTGTTTCAGTTTACCCATGTATGTATTCATATGAATTGAATGATTCAGTGATAGATCTTACTATTAGGTATTGCCAACCTATCAGATATGCTAAATGAGAAAGAATGTGAAAAACGGTATTTCATGTAAATTTATAATATTCTAATTTGGTTTTGTCTATGGATGATTTGCTCTTTAAAAACATTAGTTTGGAAAATCCAAAATTATAATGTGTCATAAATTTTTGATGAACCCTTTATGACTGAATATTTTTTGCACCACTCAATTTCGATTTTTAGAACATTCTTGGTCAATAGGTAATATATCTTCTATATCTAGTCAATCAAGAGGAGATTCCCGATTATATCAGAGAAAAAGTTGAAGATACTTTTAAACAAATGGATGTTGTCATGCTACAACAAAGAATCAACGAAATGTTGATCAACTTTCCAGAAAGTAATGCTGACTGGAGGTGAATAAATATGTTTTCAACATTACTTTGCAACTGTCTTAATTTTACGTTGATCATGGTGTTTACCTCTATAGTAGTTAGGGTCGAGCCTTTTCTGTAAAAGTCTTTCACATATGAATGTTAATTAAAAATATATGGATAGCAAACAGAGCTTTTTTCTTTGCAGTCTATCAGTTTCTTTTCCTGTCATGGACTAGGAATATTACCATATCGACTTCATTTTGAAGCTTTCCCCCATGACAATTTAGTAATTCTTTAAAAAACATACATCCATCTAATGGTATTATATTATTTCAGCTTGGTTGAAGATTTGTTTCCAAATATCCAGTTTATTGATGGAAATGAAGACGATAGTTGGTATTCGAAATTGCCAAAGGAATTATGCTGTAAACACATTTCTGATTTATTTTCTTTGAGTGTGAAATTTTTGTTGAGTAATTGAACGAACATTGATGTTGGTATGTAGTGAAATTAATCTTTCAATATACAGTCTGATTATACAGTAATATATAATTTGGCATGTACTAGCCATGGAAGTGTGGTCCTATTGTGATTTATTTTGTGTTTCCTGATTGTAGAACCTGCAGTAGAAATCGTGTTAATGCTTATTTAGTTGTGCCCTAGATTCTGCCTTATATATTATTAGATGATAACATAACAGTATAATATTCATTTAATACTATTTAGGTAACCATTTGGGTAATTGTCAGGCTGCTCATACAGAGCCTTGTTCGGTATGAAAACGCCTCATTAAAATTTAACTTTCTTGTTATCTAAAGATGAATATGTTGTGTTTTGTCTTGTGAATACCAAATAGAGCCCTGAAAGAAAATCACTTTTTGATTATATTGTACGGATGAAAAAATAATTTGGAACTGATGTCAATAAATAGACTATCACCATTTACATCTTTTATGAATTGACAATAAAGTAATCTGCATTCCTATTATACAAAATGATTGTGACCGAAGTTTATTTCTTCAAATTTGTATTTCTATTTTTTATAATATCACCGGAACTTCAAATGCAACCATGCTGAATTTCCAATAACATTAACTATGTATTCTTGATTTTAATATGGATTATTCATATGTCGGTGATTTTTTTGTACATTTATGCAAGTTAAATCATTACCACTGTTTTTTCTGATGTTATTCATTATCTAATAGCCGATTTGCTGTCAATTCCTATATTTAACCATCTATAAGTATAAGCAAAGAGAATCAGGTAGTTTGAATATCAATTTATTTCACCTTCTACCACATCCACTGAAAAAACTTTATTTGTTGGATTGATTTCGAGTTTTATCATTGATTTTTCAAAATTTATTTCTGTAAAGATTTCAATCTGTTGTTCATTTCAATTTTCTTTTGTGTAAACAATAAATAAAATACTAGTAGTCATTGTAAGTTAAAGTGCGTATTTCTTCACGGAATACACGCGGGAGGTAAAGCTGATAGGCGAAAAAGGTAAATGTTACAAAAGATAGTAATGTTGAAAATGACGAACAAACTCACAATATCCGATTCGCTCACATCGGAAGGTTCTCAACCCATTCTTATCTCTGGCAAAATTAGGAAATTTTGGGCCCTTGCTTGAGCGTCTGATCAACAATACGGTTTTTATAGGGATTGTTCGACTTCAGATTTGTTGAGTTTAAAAACCGAAACAAAATACCACGTCCTGTGGGCTGTATCGCTCCGAAAAAACTAATTCAGTGGCTTCGAATCTGTTAGGACAGCTCGTAGAGTTTGTGCGACTTTTACACAAAATTCAATCGTAGAGCATATGTGCTCAAATTAGATAAAATTTCTCCTTTTCGGTCGCAAAATCGATGCCGTTGTCGACTATCAGTGCTGCAAAACTTTTTCTATAAATTTTCGAGTAACCGATGGATCAGTTATTGAGCCTAAATTTTTCATGATATTTATTAAGTTAGTCATAAATGATGGCACAAGTTCCATGTGTTGGTATAAAATCGAACGTTTGCCCCTTGCTGAATCTTCGGAAAACAACTTGCTTGGGATCTCTCAACTACGGAACATGTGACAGGCCCCTTCGAACCCAGCTGTCTTTCGCTTGTGTGGTCCTATTTCTTACATATTAATTGTGATCGAATTATTCACACGGCGCGGCGGTGTGGCTCAACGGGCTAAGCGTTATGGCTCAACGGGCTCGCTACCGCACCTCTAATTGAGAGAGAGAGAGAATTTTTATTGTTTCGTCAAACCAGAAAACACATACAATATATATATGATAGCAAAATGAGAAAAATTAGATTTCGGTAGATGACAGGGTGGTAACGATACGACCATTAACAGTCATCTGAGTCGGTTACCACCCAAAGCAAGCACATAAATAAATAAATTAATAACACAGGTTCTGTAATATTACACTCTCAGGATATACATATGGAAAAAAAAACTATATACACTATGGAAAAAAAAATGATATCTAATTAGAGATGAGAAAAATTTCTAATCGGGATTAGGAAGTTATTAAATAAATTTTAAATAGAGAGGAGCAAAAAATAAGAATTCCATACCAAATTTAATATTATTACTTAAATTATATTAATTTACACTTTCAATCTGTTCTGAATCTTTTGTGCTTACACATGATAAAATATGAGGGATATGATCACAGGGAAATTGAAGGTTCTATGAGTGACAATAATGTGTTGTGTGAAGAAAACCATAGATTGAGATATGAAATATAGGCATAACAGTAGTACAATTTTATATTTTCAATTCATTAGGGTGAAGAAAAAAAGCAGGATGCATATGGAACTTCTGCGAGATTTACACATTACTACGCAAAACAGGTATTAAGATGGGAAACAATCAGATTGGTATTGCAACACTTTACAAATAATTTAGAAATAGACAAATATGTCTATGAGTTGAAATAGATATGTGATATTAAATAAATTTTGACAAGGCTGGGTCAAATTAAATCACGATAGCCCAAAATATATTTCGCCTTGTAGTAATTATTGCATACACGAGGTTTAAACTATTAGAGATTCTGAACAATTAGCAAATTTGTCTATATCACTATTGCACATTAATTAAAAGAATATTGATCACATTAAATTCAATACAGAGTATAATACGATATCTGCGTGGGTTCGCAGGTTTGAATCCCATGCAGGCATGGTTATGTGCGAGAGGATTGCTGGACTCCTCGCCGTCGTTCACGTAACCGCTGATCGGTTACGGCTTCCTCCACCATCAAGTTCATGCTTCCGAAAACAAACAATATAACTAATCCCATACCCGACTTGGAATGGTAACCGGACGAGAGGCCGTGGTTCGCCATATGGATAAGCCGGCTTTCCTCTCCCCCGGGATAAATATGTAGGCTAAATCCTATCCTATTTTGCTGATTAGTGATTCAATATTGCATAAGATGCCACGCATCATTTAACACTGCGGTTCCCAAGCTTTATGTTCGGTCGTGCGACGCCAAATTGTCAGGGGAAAAAAATGACAGCGCACTTACATGAAAAAAAATTCTGCTTTTTAAAAAAACTCAATTTCGTGATCGTTAATGTGTAGTTTATGCCTTTTAAAAGTTTGTAAATATGTAGGTCTGAGGAATAAGGGCAAAAGCTCAATTCTTCTTCCTCATTTCTGCCCGGTTTTCCCTTGAAATGCTAAAATAGCACCTGTAGCTAATGTGGATTTAACTATGAATTGTAATGCTATTTAATGTATTACTAGTGTGTTAATTCAATGTAATCGCAGATAGTGTCAATCTCCCTATACACCCATTTTCGCTGAACCCAGCAGGTAATTAAAAGAATAATTTGCGCTGGACAACAGTATGCCACGTAGAAAATAAACAAATTCAGCCATCGCATTGAATAAATTGATTGTTCTGTTGTTATTTCATTCTGTTGTTGTTGTTCTGTTGTTACTAATGGAGGCGGTACGCGGCACTCCACAAAATCTCGAAATGGTACGGGGCGACTAAAGTTTGGGAATCGCTGAATTACAGAAATCAAATATGAACTCATTCACTACATTAAAGTAAATACAGTAATGAACGTTTGTCATATAAAGATACAAGAGTTATAAATTGAGAAAGATAGTTGCAGTAAAGTAATGAAGACATAATATATTAACTATTGCAAGTATACAGTATTTACTACTAGGTTATTGCAGTGATTCAATAACCTTTCACATTATATTTTTTCAGGTGGTGTCATAAAAGCAGCCACAATAAAGATCTTGGTCGGGTTGTTACAAACATTCGAAGTAAGTCGACACGAAATTCTTTTTCATATTTGATTTGAAAAGTTGGTAGGTATGACATGCTTCGTAAATCAGCACGGAGAGCATTCCACATAATAACACCCTTATATTTGAGTGAATTTTGAGTTTTAGTGTAGGTCTGGCGAGGTACATGGAGTGATGATGTGGATGCTGATCTAGTGTTATAATTGTGAACATTGCTTTGCTTGACAAAATAGTTGTTAAATGCCTGTGACAGGCAACGATTGTGGAATTGGTGCATCAACTTACAAATTTCTAGCTGATAAATATCGGTATGCTTCAGGACACCAGTTTCGTGATACATAATATTCATGTTAATATGAGCAGTAGGCCTATAGAGAATTTTAATGGCCCTGTTCTGTGAAACTTTAATAGGATTTAGTTTTGACTTGGAGGCTGATCCCCATGCAACAACTGCATATTGGATATATGTTTGAAAGAGAGAATAATAAACTATCTTCAGTGTATTTCTGTCCGTGTAATGTTGGAGTTTGCTCAAGATGCCCACCGAACGTGAAAGTTTTTTTTCGCACTTCATTGATGTGCACATCCCACTGTAGACGATTGTCTATGTTTAACCCCAGATATTTATACGAAGGCACAGACTCGAGCTCGATTTCATTGATTTTGATTTCTGGAGGAGTTTTGTCGCGGTTGCGATTTGGCTTAATGTGGACTACTTTAGACTTTTTTAAATTGATGGTGAGCTTGTTACTTAGCATCCAATTATAAATTTTTACCATTTCTAGGTTGACATGATTTTGGAGATTCAGTGAAGATTTGGAACTACAGAGAAGACCGGGTGTCATCTGCAAATAATTTGGTCATCAAATCAGAGCAATGAGAGATGTCGTTTATAAAAAGAACGAATAATAATGGGCCAAGGCAAGACCCTTGGATTACGCCATCTTCGATTGGAAGAACCTGGGAACGGTGAGAGCCAACTTCGACAAATTGGAGACTGCCCTACAGATAATCTTTGATAAGGGCATGCGCGCAACCTCGAATTCCATAGTGATTAAGTTTGCGAAGGAGTATGCTATGACTAACGGTATAAAAGGCCTTTTTCAGGTCTAAAAAGGCACAGCAGCCATGCTCTCCCTTCTCGAATTTCACATGGATATATTCTATGAAGTCAGTTATGGCATGGCTTGTTGGATGATTTTTTTGGAAACCAAATTGGCATTTATTTATTAGTTTGTTCTCATCACAAAAATCACTTAATCTGCAATACAGAAGTTTCTCAAAGACAATTGCCAGACATGATAAAATGGAGATTGGTCGATAATTAGATGGGTTAGTTTTATCACCTGATTTGTATAATGGTATGACTCTGGCAAGTTTCAGCGCAGATGGAAATATGCCTATTCTTATAGACGTGTTGAAGAAATTTACTATGATGGGTGAGATTATGTTAGCAATCTTCCTTAGGAGAAATGTAGAGATGTTATATGGGCCTGTGGCCTTTCCTGTTTTCAAAGCAAGAATGGTATTGAAGACTTCGGCCACATTTGTTGGTCGCATATAAATTGACTCCTTAAGGAAGCTTTTAGAAAGCTCGAGAAATGTTTATTTGTTGTGGGAACAGCTGGTATTAAATTTTTCCCAATATTTGAGAAGAAATTATTAAGTTCGGAGGCAATGGTTAGGCTATCATTAGTTTTGAGTCCATTTTGAAGTTTTACTTCTGATATTGAGGAGTTGTTCCTCGATTTAATGTTCACAATCTTCTTTATTGTCTGCCATGTTTGTTTTACATCTTCTCTATTGCTTTTCATTTTTGACAAATAATAGGCTTGTTTTGATTTTCTTAGTAGGTGAACTAAGATGTTGTGGTATTTTTTGTAATGTGCGCGTTGGCTTTGACTGCCATGCAAATAATATTTTTTATGCATTTTACTTTTGAATCTAATGGATGTTTGGATACCATTCGTAATCCAGGGTTTGGATAGAATTTTTGTTTTTTTGCGAGAACCCGGTACCATAGATGCATGTTCATCGAGTAAATGTTCCAATGAGGTCATAAAGATGCTGAACACCTCATTGAAGCTATCAGTGGACAATTCTGTCAATAAAAATCCATAGAATGCGTTTTGAGCATCATTTCTGAATGTTTCCTCATT